TTCACGATGAGATGCAGTGTTTTTCAATTCCTTCACAATTAAATCAATTGGCCTCTTTGATACTCTTCACAGTGGCTAATTTACGTTATCAATTCAATGGATAATACTGAATTACCCTATGCAAGGTTTGACTGGTCTCCAGTCTTCCTCGTAACGCTGGCAGCCATCACAGCAACACGAGGGCAGAGGTGTGATGATAAAGTCGAGTGGAAAAGAGGATTTATCATTGCGGGTATTCAGCGGGGTTTATCATTGCCTATTATTCGTTTTTAAATCTTACTCAGCAGATATTTAGCAGTCTTCACAAAAGTGAGTTTTGCATCATGATGTCACTAAACATTGGAATGAAAGCACGGATCAACGCGCTAGCGTGGCTGTGTTGATAACGAAAAAACTTTGTTATGTTCCGTGGTCATAAAGTGGCTCTGTAACCCTTGATTGTGGGTTCGTTTGATTAACAGCTCGTATAAGTGGAAAACTAACTGAATGCGTAGCTAACTGAATATTTTTACGGTGCGAATGAATTCTTCGAAGTTTTAATCAGTGCTGTTAGTACTAACAAACAGAGAACCGTACAACAAATCGCTTTAACTGCTCCACGCTCTTTGATCTGAGGTAAGGTGGTCAGTCGGCGCGAAGAGTTCTTAAAAATCTTGCACGTTCGGCTAGAATTTGCTAAGTTAGAACGATTTCGTAGAGTTGAATGGCTGATCTGGAAATCAAACACGATGTTTGGAGAGGATAAAAAAATTCGACAACGGAGGCAAACTAAGGACGATAGAGTTAAACAGGTTGAATGTGGAAGATAAACTCATATACAAAGTAAATATAAAGTGTATGCTATTCAGTTGTAGCAAGTCAAACGTATCGTGAAGAGGAGCTCAAAAAACTGAAATGACTTCCCATGGAATAAGTGCATATTCAGTACAAACGGACTGCACTTTCTACAAGAAGTTTGAGAAAAACTAACCTTGGTTGTGTGCGATTTTGTTGACTTCTTCTTTATTTTGAGCAGAAGCACCGGAGCTGAAGCACTGCAAATAAAAAGACGGATAATGATTCTTGACATAATACTATTTGGTGCTGGCTGTGACAAAATATCAGAAAGCTTCTTTTGAAACCACTGTGGTATATGTTGTCTTGAATAAAGTTCTAACATCGCCTGGGTCGGCGGAAGTTTGAACTGTAGGTCTGATGGTCACACTGGGCCTTAATGGCCATCGTCGTTTCAGTAAAGAAACTGGTTTCACTTTACATAAGTATCTTTGTCACTTTAAAACTAAACTTGGAATCACTGTTGGAGAAAATACGCTCCTACCCCTCCCCTAACCCAACGACAGTCAACTGATAACAAGTTAGGGTAAATGTTAGGGTAAAATAATCGAAAAACTTCATAAGTGCATCTGCGTTTGTGAGAACAGGAAACTGTATAGCATAGTCCTAATTTCTATTGAGATCCGCTTTGCACACCCTAAACGAAACCACAAGCTTCAAAATTGTCACTTAGGCCGATAAAGAAATTCGAATCAAATGCACTTCGTGCGTTTGATTTGAATTTTTTGATCGGCAGTCGTGAATTAACGATTAATTTATAGGAAGATGGGACGAAATGACTGAGATGGGTGTAGAGTTAACAAGAAAGATTAGAGTTTGAAGTAGAAATGAAAGAAAAAGATGAAGAGAAATCGTGAAAGTTACCATGTGTTACCCTGATTCATTAGAGCTTTCAGACTTTGCCGCATTCTTACGCCTACAAGAAGGAGCTGACTTACCTCGGGGTGTTGCTCGAGGTTTTCTATTTGATAAAGAAAGAAATCAGGACAACAAAAATCAAAGGTAGAGTTAGGGCACCAGAGATGGAGGGTAATAGAGTACGAAAAAGGAAAAAAAACGGCCGTCTTTTTCAGGGTATCGGCCTGCAGAATCTTCAAGATTAAAAAACAAAAAAAAAAAAAGAAGAAAGGAAAGAAAATAAAGTCGAAATTGATAATAAAGTACAACAGAGGAAAAACTAGTATGCAGATCCAAAATTTAAGGAATAGGAAAAGGTTCAGCAACAGCAACAGAGATCTCTCCCAAAGTTCCGTTTGTTACAATAACATTTTGTCATGCGGATATTTCTCTTGTGAGGATAAGAGGAAAAAAACTAACTGAAACTACAAGGAGATATTTAGAAACAAATTTCTTTCTTGCGAACCTTGGATATCACAAAATGGCATTGTTCATGACTTTCCTTAATAACATTCTCTCGATACAACGCGTGCAACTTAACTGTATTGAATCACGGTGGTTCGTTTTCTTCACATCAGCTCTTCAATAATCTGGAATGTGCGATCAGAATCTCACCCCTATTCGCAAAGATGCGTACAAATCATGTGAAATTAATATTGAATTTCGAAACTAGTGTCCCAAGAAAGACCAGGAGAAAAAAGAATGCCTTTTTCCCATGACAGCTCTGGTTTAAGTTCCTCACTCTACCCAGGAAGGGTTCAAAATTTCTCTCCTCCCCCGGTACGGAAGACAGTCAAATGCCTGTGCGTTACTCAGCCGGGGAGAGGGGGGATGTTGAAGCTTCGAAATGAGTGGAATTTTTTCATGTAACTCGCAAGGAACAAATGTTATTTAAATATGACTAGAGGACATCGTAATCGCATTCTATAAGCCCTTGTTCAAATTATTTTCAACAAAATGCCTTGATTGTTATGTAGAAACAGTTTCTGCTGTCTATCATACAAAAACCTATATCAAAATGATCACTATTGGCTAATGACCGCATCTCAGAAATGCTGAACCGAGTGATGGTTACAGCACTAAACAGACAGTCCCGCAGATGCTGTAGTAGCGAGTAAAGTGTGTATTAAAGTACAGCTAAACACAGGAATCAATGCCCTTAAGGGGTTTGTTTAATCATTAAAGAAGAACAAAGAAAATCATTTCCGGTGTCTGTCCCGTCAATCGTCTCGCCTAAAGTTTCACACAATCTATATGCAGTAGGAGTTTACTGCTCCTGGAATGGCTTACAGCTGATACATGAGAAGAAAAAGTTGACTTGCTGCATGATGTAAGAATAGCTAAGGCGTTGCGTAAACAGGATATGGAGCATCGTGATGTATCATGGATACTTGGTCAGGATGGTGTAGAGGAGTACTGGATATAAATGATCCGTGTCATATCGTTACCAGCTCACGCGGGCAAAATATTGCAGTAGACTGTGACTTGACAATCAAGGTGTTTGTCAACAGAGGCAAGTTTGAGAAGTGTTTCAGAATTCCAGCTCTTCTTGCTGACAAAGAAAATATAAGAAACAGACTTAAAAATCGCAGTTGTCTGGAGTACATTCTGTACATATATAGCCTTTATGTTAATTATATACATTCTGGTGGTATCAGGCGCTGATATAATAGGTTTTATAGCTAAACTGGATGGCAACTCTTTAGTTTCTTGTCAACACGATTTTTAAGATGTTCGAAATGGGAAAGTTTCTAGCCTGATTATTGGCTCTCTGAACCGGGGGCTCGTTTTTTCACATGAAGTGACACTTATCACTCAGTGACCTAACAGTTTTAAAAGGAGGTCAATGATTGTTTAATTCACGCCTCTGAAGGCATACTGACACAAAAAAGAAACCTTGACGGTTAAAAATCACTGAGTCGAATGCAGACCGGGCAATGTAATAAGTTGTTTTCATGGCTACCGACAAAAGCAGTATCTCTCCCTCTTCCTCCCCGTATATATCACTAATGGCAGCAAAATCTAACAAGAATACAATACACAACAAACTCATCTGTGACCTTGATTTAAGTATTTTAACTTATGACATGACAATAAGCGATTAAAATTTCGAAAATGTTGTTTCAACCTCTATAGAACGCGATAGGCGGGCGCACGTCGGACAACCACAAACAAAATTCAAGATTCCTTCAATTTTTCCGAGTCAGAACAAGAAACTCACAGTTTTATTTCCTTATCTTGCTATATATTCGTTGATGTTATGAAGAGCAATGCCTATTATTGATTGGTTAAACTTACTGTCAAATGAAACACGCTGCTGCAAAAAGTTAAGTGATTTGTGTTGTGTTTTGCTCTGAGTGGCTTGCCTCGCATTTTCACTTTCTAATCATCTGATGACATTGCAATACTTACTGATGTAGAAAACACTCAAAAGTGGTTAACAGCAGTGACGCGCATGAGAGATGTGTTATTCATAACCTAAAATTGTCAACTGTAAAGTGCGAGCTGGGCGATAACAATATCTGGTTTGAAATCATGATTTAGCATATGGGTTTGAGTCTATAAATATAAACTCAGTCAGTTTCACCCACTGAGTTCACACGGCTCGCTTTTCAACCCATGCAGTGAGAAGGGATTCCAAAGATTCTAGAAGTAAATTAGATCGTAAGTGTGCGGGGCCGAAACCCGATAAATAGCCAAATACAAATTTGGTTGAAGGAACCCGTTCCAGCCCCAGTTGTGGTATAGCAGATATTTACGGGTAACAAGGTAAAGAAAGAACTATAAGTGAATGAAAGAACTTCAAAACACATTAAAGCTGAGAACAAAGCTAACAACTAAGGAAGATTCATGAACAGTTATCATCCTTTTTTACCTCGGGTATCAAACAACATTCCATTGAGAAGTTGAATAAATGAAGTTGAATGAAGACCAATAACTATTGTTGATTGGTTAAACTTACTGTAAAAAGAGACACGCTGCTGAAAAAGTGAAGTGATCTGTGTTGTGTTTTGCTCTGAGTGGCTCGCCTTGCATTTTCACTTTCTAATCATCTGATTACATTGCACTACTTAATGATGCATAAAACACTCAAAAGAAGCTAACATCAGTGACGTGCATGAGAGACATATTACTTCATAACAAAATACAGGTTATGTTCCGTAGCCTTCCTTTGTCAACTGTATAGTGCAAAGCTGGGCGATAACGATATCTGGTTTGAAATCATAATTTAGCGTATGGGTTTGAGTCTATAAATATAAACTCAGTCTTTCACCCTCTGAGTTCACACGGCTCGCTTTTCAACCCATGCTGTGAGAAGGGATTCCAAAGATTCTTGAAGTCAATTAGATTGTACGTGTGTGGGGCCGAAACCCGATAAGTAGCCAAATACTAATTTGGTTGAAGGAACCCGTTCCGGCTCCAGTTGTGGTATAACAGTTATTTACGGGTAACAAGGTAAAGAAAGAACTCAGTATAAGTAAAACACTTTACAGCTGGGAACAAAGCAAACAACTAAGGAAGATTCATGAACAATAATCATCCTTTTTTTGCCTCGGGCATCAAACAACATTTCCATTGAGAAGTCGAATGATGCCGTGACGTGATTGAAAATTTCAATGATAACTAGTAACATTTTATTAAAAAAAACAAAGAGAGCTTTAGATTGTACTTTTACTGATACCTGTCAGGGATTTCTAATGCTCACATTATCATTCGTTGGCGAAAGGAAGAACTTAAGACCACAACAGCCTATTTGAGTGTCTGCAATGAGCAACATAACTTTTCAAAGACAAATATGTTTTTCCAACAAAGGATTATTTGAAGAGGCTATAAATCTTCACGCCATCATTCCTTGATTGCTTTCTCTTTGTTATGCTTTGTTTTGTTTTATTTTCTGGGCTGACAGCTATTATCATTCCAAAATTGCAATCATTCTTGAAATTTTGCCATCATTTGTTTTTTCTTTTGCTTTCATCGACGCTTGAGGAGTTACTTATTGTGAAGATTCACTGAAAAAAGCTCCCAATTTCTTCTGATTACTAAGTTCCAAGCTGCCATTATGTCTGCGATCATAACAGCAGTTTTCAAAGCGACTATTGGATGGCTTGTGGATAAAGGCAGAGATGAGGCAGCAAAAAAGCTTAAAGATGGCGACGTAACAGATCAACAGTTTCGCGGCATCATCATGCGAGAAATCGATGACATGAAGTCCAAGCTGGATGGATTATCAAGGAAAGATTTGTTAGCGAGTATTGGATTCTTTAGAGAAGGAATCGAGTTGCTGTATGAAGTATTTGAAGAGAAAAGGTCGAGGAGTGAGTATGGCGCGGATACAGCACAAGCGGCTTGTGCGGAAGCTGTGTCGCTCGCTGAAGGAATGAAACACTTGGAGCTTACTGAATCTGCCACAAGAAAGCTCTCTAATGCAAAGAAGAGATTCGAACGTGCTCGTGAAAGAGCAACAGATGCCTTTTCTAATGAAGCGCTATCATCAAATGACCGCATCTTAGCAATGCAGTACCGAGTGATGGCAACAGTATTAGAAACAATAGACCATCCCGCAGATGCTGTAGCACCATGTAAAGTGTGCATTGAAGAGCTAAACGGTCTGCCCGTGGTTCAGCGAAGTTTTCAAGAACAGCTCAGGACAGGTATCATGGCAATGAAGAGTTTATTTAACAAAGAAGAACGACGGAAAGTTATTTCCGGTGTCTGTCTTGTCAACCGCGTCGTCTACGATGTCACACAAACAGCGCACGTTAAAGAACCATTTACAAATGAACCATTTGCAAAAGAATTATTTCCACCATTGCCCATGATTGACACAGGGAAGGAGAAAGTTGATCTGTTGCGAGACCGGAGAGTAACAAAAATACTTTGTAAACAGGGTATGGAGAACTGTAGTGTACCATGGATACTTGTTCATGATGGCGAAAAGGAGCACGGTTTAAATATCCCGGCTGATATCGCTACCAACTCAAGCGGGCAATATATTGTAGCAGACATTGACTCGACAATCAAGGTGTATGACAGCAGTGGCAAGTTTGTGCAATGTTTCAGACTTCCTCCTCTTATTGATGACAGCGGTAAAGAGCTATCGATTTATTTCTTGGACGTTCAGCTAGCCACAGACATGAATGACAACATTTATGTCCTGGTCGAAGCGTGTGGTGAGGACTCACACTGGATTTTTAATTTTAACAAAACCGCTGATCATCATCACAAGTTTTGCATCAGGACAATGGGCTACAAATTTGACTCGTGTAAACTGTCAGTCAGTGATAGTGGTACAGTGATGGTACTGAAGAGTAACTTGAGCAAGACACATCATATTGTGGATGTTTATGAGACTGATGGTCAGTTTGTTTGCAGTTTTGGAGAACAAATCTTGACGAGCCCCTGCGACATCACCACTGTAAGTGATGGCAGAGTTATGGTGGTACAAGAGCATCCGTCACGTGTTCACATATTTAGCGAACAAGGTGACCATCTAAACACGTTTGATCTGCAAATATCTATGGCGTTTTCAAAAATTGCATTTCACAGGGCAAGTCAACATGTCGTGGTGGTCGGTGGTGAGGACTATAATTCAGACATCTTGCATATAGAAATTTACACCAAAGATGGTGAGTTTGTGCGAAGTACTCCTGTCAATATGGGACAGTCCTATATTCTGATGAGGATGGCAGTGACCACTGACGGCCGCATTGCACTAGCAGCTTGGCTTGATGATTTAAGACGCGAAGTAATCATTATTTAAAAATCACGCTTAGTTTACAGACTAAGTGCTTTGCATCAATAATCATGCAATTAACATAGTAAGCACAATGCCTTTATTTTCCACACAGCATGATGTAACTTAAGACTAAAGTTTTATGTCCAAAATGAAAGCTTTTATAGCCTCAATTTATTAACTTTTGATGCGTTGGAATATAATTGAACTAATGCGATGCAGTTTTGAAATTTTTCTTGGAAAATAAGTATTACATCATTGATCATGTAGGAACTTTATTGGTGGCTCCAGGCTTAGCTAGAGATGTGATGCCTATTTGGAAACCAGCTTGTGGTCCTCACCTCTCTAGATGTGTTAATAAAATTACACATTGTAACTTCCATATATCTCTTTGTAATGCGAGGAAATATTATTTTATGTCATGGCAAGGTGACACGTCTGACACAGCGATAAGCTGAGATATTTATTTATGATTCTCATTACCTATTTACTGGATAATGTATGGATATTTTGAGGAGAAGTTGAACTGATGTGATTCTCTTGTGTGTGTGAAAGGGGTTGATATCCAGTCTCTCTCACACGTATGTGCGTCATTTTATATTTTAATCATGGTGTTCCTATCTTTCGATGATTTTAACATTAGCCTTTATCCGTCTTTTCAGCGTAATGCGTGGACAGTTACTGCTGTGATAGGCCCAATGTTTGCTTAAGTAGTTTTGAGTACTTGTGCTTTTCTTGTCGAATGTTTCATTAATCAAATTTAGTATTTTATTTGGCTGTTGTTTCCTGCGTAAAATGTTTTCAAACAAGACCAATTTCTGCGGTGAACTTTGTCGCGTGATAAATTTAGATGGTAAAAAATTAGTATAATCATCCTCGGAGATCAAATTAAACTTGTCAGTAAATGCTAATTAATTCATTGCTAGCAGAGCACGCGGGTGAGATGATGTGAATCCTTTGCTCTGCTTGGCTACTCAAGCGGGCAAAATGGAACTCTTGCCCGCAAACGAAAATTGTAAATTTTTTGTATTTAGTGGAAACTGAAATATAATCAGTAAATCTTACCACTTGCTGAATTTGCTCTTGTTTTCCCTTATGTTCTTCTTTTTTGTATGATTTCGTTGAACTTCGAATACGACTCTTGCCCCACAGCTTCCAACTTCCACGTGCAAGTGGTTGCAAGTGTTGAAGAAACATGGAATTGCCAGCAACCACCGAGTAGGAGAAGTAAAAGAAGATGATTTTCGTCATTTCGATGTAATATTGGCCTTTGATAAGAGAAATGTACGACGTCTGAATGAAATTTTTAGGCCAAATGATGGCACTACGCCAGCGGAAGTAAAACTGTTTGGAACATATGACCCCAAAGGAGAGTCGAATATAGACGATCCTTTGTTTGGAGACATTTCAGATTATGAAAAAATGTTCGATCATGTTTATAGATGCTGTGTGGAGTTTTTGAAACACTGTTAGAGAAGAGAAGAACTTACTGGTTTATCAATCATAATTTTAATATCTTCGAATTAGACGCACTGAAGGGAAATAATTAGTTTTTAGGGATGACGATGGGTGTATTTAGGTGTATTGTGATGCTCTGAATACCACAGCACGAGTGAATAATGGACGAAACATCGAAATTGCGATATGTTTTCTATCCATGCATGATTTACACACACAACTGAATACAGACCAAAACACTGGTCAAAGTTCTTTCAAGTTTCGTTTTTTTTTTTTCGCTTTTTAGATAGAGAAAGCTTTTAAGTTGTGTGCCTGCCAAAACAAATACTGTGACAACCAGCTTTTGTTATTTTCAGAATTTATACTTTATAAGCTCCACAGTGACATATAGTTTTTCATGGTCTATTCTAAATTATATAATAAGCTCAGTTATGCACGCATTTTAATTGGTTCTCACTTATGATCTATTGGAGGACAGACGTATTTCGTCATCATTAAAACTTTTTTAAATTCTTTATTATATAAAACAAATAGATTCCAAGTTGTCGTGCTTCTGTTCAGTAATAGATCGCAGAGGACGTCAAAATGTGGTAAGAACAAAGTGGCACACGAGGCGCAGCCGGCACGGCAACTTGGAACCTATTGGTTAAGTACCGCGCTTAAGACGATTTTTCCAGGAGGTACCCCGTTTTGTGGACAGTAATCTCTTTCAAATTTTGCTCCATCAATTTTTTTTCAAACGATCTTTCGCATCTTACGGACCCTTTGCCGCTACGATGACTTAAATAAATTTCAGAAAAAGATTTAAACGACATGGCTGGTTGATTATTTCACCGCAGGCTACTGAATAAGAAACAAAAGCAACGCCACTAATTTGTTTCGCCGCACACGGAGACTTTGACAACTTAACAAAAAGGAAAAAAAACAGCAGGATTTAAGATCACCGCAATAACGAAATTTATTATGGTAATTAACTACCACTTTATTTCAAATTTGTTGAAATCACGAGATTCAGTCGTTGGATACAAAATGTCTCTCATTTTCCTGCAATTTAATCGATTTCTTTAAACAAGTCTTAAAATTGGATTGGTTATTGTATTTTTAGTAGAGCGGTCTCATTGGTTGGGATAAAGATGCGATTTATCCGGTTACGGAGATTCGATCAGATTGCAACGATCACAGGTGATTTTTAAAGAAATGTAATGAAGGATTTTATTCCCCGAAATACCATAGTACAGTTAATACCATCGGTTCACTCAGTAAAGGTGGCGACATTTTTACGCAATCGCGCAGAAAATTTAAAAACCAGATAATTTGTTTGATCAACTGAGTTGATAATGTACATTGGCTGCTGAAAAGAGTTTTTAAACGTTTACGGCGTTAGTCCTTCGTAAGAACGTCAGTTGATAGAACCAAATCATCTTGTAATACCCCATCGACACAGCATCACCATTACCCCTTTTATTCATGTGTCATTTTAATATCAGGCATGTAGTACTGGGCGGACTGTCTATCATGTAGTGGCTTTTAAGGAAAGTTCGAGTTTTCGATCGCAAGTTACTAACTTACGGAATCTCTGTGTCGAAATTTCTCCCCTACACACATCATAGTTCAACGAACGATTCTTCACAATCGTTTTTACTTGTTAAAATAATTGTGTTATATCATGTGTTTCACGATGAAATGCAGCGTTTTTAATTCGTTATCAATTCCTTTGTAGTTAAATCAATTAGCGATTTCTGTGGAAATTGTTTTTCCATTTAGTACATAAATACGTAGAAAAACTTGCAACAGATAGAATATGGTAAAAAGTTGTGTCAATCATGGAAATTGGATTTACAAGCGTTAAGAAGTATTTACTGTTATATACATCTGTTCAATATCATGAAGAAAATTCGGTGTTTGGAAATTATGCATAAGAAAATAATTATTTATAAGGTATCATCATCTCAACAATACCTTTCTTTCCTTATTGCAGTTCTCTAAAGCTTTGGCTATAAACATTTCTGCTCCAGATTTGCAAACAGAACTTCGATAGAGTGATGATTTTTTTTAAACATTATATTCACGTTTGCTCTAACCCCACACGGGTTAAATGTCTCATGAAAATTACGTCTATTCTCACTTTTCGCTCTTTGTATACGAAAAATATGAATATGTGCATTTATATTACAAGAACGCTTGCAGTTCGAAATGAATCAATTAAACGCTCAAGCATATCTATCTGAGCTTAAATTGAGTCTGTTCAGATGAATCAACAGTTCATGAAGAACTCGCTTCTGTGGGCATGTCTCAATCGTGCAATGCGCATGTCGGCTCTGGATGCACTCTTCACCCTCCCCCCGATACACACTGGCTGTGGATTAATACTAGGGAGAGAGGGTATGGTAGTTGTTGTCACAGTAAGCGGCCCTCTATCCTGCACTAGTCAGATGTTCGATTTCATCCGAGCTCTCAGCATCTGCCGGGTTCGCTCAGAGGATGTGGCCGAGCTGGAAGACATCTGATGAAAAAAAAAGAATAAGTTGAAAATCAAGCGTAACAATTTCATGATATGTTAGGCTACGTATGTTAGGCTATGCAAGGTCTGCGTATGCAAGGTCTTCATATAAACACATACACACAACCCACAATTCCTCCGGTCGCTCTGATGAAGGGCTAATTCTCGAAATGTTATCTTCGAACTCTTCACGGTGGCTAATTTACGTTATCAATTCAATTGATAATACTAAATTACCCTATGCAAGGTTTGACTGGTCTCCAGTCTTCCTCGTGGCGCTGGTGGCCATCACAGAAACCCGTGGGCGGATGTGTGATGATAAAGTCGAGTGGAAAAGAGGAAAATGGCTTCTGCCCTCCTTGCTCCAGCAGGGTTTATCATTACTTATTAATTTTCGGTTCTTTTTGATAAACAAAGCTTATCAATTTAGGAATCTCATTCATGGTTCTTGGCTAATCATCACTGACCCTCAACCTCATAATTGTAAGCATATTTCTTTTTAAGATGCGATTATTAATTCACGATTTTAGCTGCTAATCGTTTTCTTATACCGAAGTAAAACCAGCATGTGGCGGATATATTTGTCAATTCTCTTTGTATATTTTTGTCGGATGACGTGAGGTTATTATAAGGAGAAGCTGAATGTGATTCCTTTCTGTTAGTGAAAGGGTTGATAGAAAATTTTCTTTGGGTGTATTTGTATTATTTTATATTTTAATAAGCGTGTTC